GTCGCAGTGACAGTGTCGCGGCGGGGCGGGACCGCCTCCTTGCCTTGCCTCGCCTCGCCTCAGCGCTGAGCAGGGCCGGGCCGGGAGCACCTGGCACAGCTGCTCGCCCATGGCGCTGGTTGAACTGTACACGCAGGTGAGCGGGCGGGAGCCGGGCCGGGGCCGGGTCGTGGTCTCCGCTCCACAATTGCAGCGGGGCTGAGGCGGGGGGTGAGGGGCTCGTGTGGGGCCGGCCACAGCCGCCGGGCGGGAGCGGGGCAGGGCACAGGCCCCACCGCTGTCCGCCAGCTGCTTGCTGCAGTCTTGCTTCTTTCTTTCATTCGTTTGTATCCCGCGAGAAGCACTTCCCCCAGGGGCTGCGCTGAATGCGTTGCGCGACCCCCCTCAGGTGGGCAGGGGCGGGCCGCCGAGGACAGGCCCTGCCGTCACCAGAGGACGCGCTTGTCTCAACACCAGCAGTGCCCCTGCGCTACTTGGGTCCACGACATTTTGCTGCTCCTTCTGCTGCGTTTCCTTTGGTGCCGGGACCGGAGTAGGTGAAGGTTGACTAAGAGGCCTTGAAGTGAAAGGCTGCTAGGTTCTGTGGGCAGGACCTGGAGAGCGGAGGGTGGGGACGCTGCAGCAAAACGAGACTGTGGGGTTTGTACCTGTTTGGGGGTTTACGCACATCACATCACCCATACGCAGGCAGCCAGAGTTTGTTACCATATAAGCAGTAGGCAGCCCGTTAGGATTCGTGTCTTTTTACCCAGGTTAGTGAATCGCATGCTTACCTCCTGTATGGCAGTGGAGGACTGCAGCAGGTGATGTATAGGTGTGAAGGCCTTCGGGGCTGTTTTAATAAGCAAACACAGAGGTTTATGCAAGTCCATGCTGTTTAAGTAGGTAACGCAGCTAGGGAAGTGAGAAAAATGTTTTGAAGCATACATGATAGTGTGAGTGCTGAGACTTGGATTCCTCCCAGCTGATACTGGAGTGTCCTTTGCAAGTCCCATCACCACTCTAATCTGTAGAAATTATATACCTTTATAATGTGATTTGGGTCTGAAAAATGTTCCATGAAGAAGTTTATGTATATTTTAATAACTGCAAACTGCATGGCCAGTTCTCATTCCCCACAAATGTGCATTGCATTGCCCTGGAGGCACAAGCTTCACGCAAAGCACCTTCCTAGCTGCCAGTACGTGGGCTACAGAATGGCACAGCAGAGCTGGGTTGTGAGGGCTGTGGTATATTTAGGAGAGAAGTGCACCACCATGCTATATTTGCTGGACTGATTTTCTGTTCCTTCTACAGATTTGCATTTAACTTCAACTTAAGCTGCTGTAAATCCTAAGAACTCTTAATGAACTTAACTGAATTACTCTAGATTAACAACATAACTCGAAACAGGATTGAAACTAGGTCATTAAACATTGATTTCTGTTTCCTTCCAAAGGGTGCATACTGTATTATGCCAAACAAGAAGTTCATAGCTAAATAATATGTAATAACTTTTAGTGAGCTAGTAGAAGGAACTTAATAGGGAGTACTACTCATAAATTATTTTTGAATCTCTGATTCCTATATGTAAATGTCTAAGATAGCTGTATCAGGAGTTGAGACCAACTTTACTTAAGCATTATACTGTTAAAAATTAAAAGGAAGAAATAAGACTTAAATATTTGGTGATATGATGCAGTCTGTACTGTGCAAGACGGAGAGACATTCTTACCTCAAGAATTTTAAATAAAAATACACAAAGGACCTACAAATGCTTAATTATGTGCTTAATTTAGGTATGCAAGTAGTTCATTAGATAAAGCATGTACATAAGTATTTCCAAGATAAAGGAACCTTAGGTAAGACGAGATATAATAGGAACCCCATGGAGGTCTTAATTTGAGGTATATCTACACTGCAATCTAAAGGCACAATTGTAGCTTGTGTGGACATACCCTACACTGCACATAGGTAGATCTAACTCACATGTTTGAATTACAGTCTAGACCTACCTGTACCTGATCTAGTTTTAAAGTACCTGGCACAGGTACTTATAGTGGCCACAGCATCAATGCCATGCAGGTGACCCCTATAAGTATTTGCGTGGGTTCCCAGGTAGATTTATATAGCCCAAGCTGAATCTCATGCTGCAGCAGCTACCCCAAGCAGCATACTGAAAGCTTGGTCAGGTGTGCATGCATGAGCTGTAGTTGTGTCTGTGTATAGCAGGGCAGGATGTAGCCTTAGAAGGTTATGTTCATTTGTCATTTTCTCCCCTCTGTCATGGATATAGTTCAGCCTGATGGAAGAAATTTTCTCCATCTTTCTGATGGAAGAAATTTCTCTATCTGAAAACTAGCAGAGTTTGCTTTATAAGCTCAAAATGCAGTTTGTGCAGTGATCTCTTGTGAAAGAATTTCTGGGTTTTGTTCTTCAAGTATTGCAGGTAAATATGATGCAGAGAAATTTAGCAGTGTGATTGACCGGACAAAATACAGTCAGCATGCAGGGAGTAAAGTAAATAGCAATATCAGACTAATTATTTTAATATTTTAAAATAATTTACAAAAGGAAAATAAGTAATTAGTTACAGTAATCTCTTCTTGTAGTAAAGAAGAGGTCTTACTATTTACTATGGAAAAGGCATCTTCACATTGAATATGCATTGGCCAGAGAGACTCTGGAGTTGTCTGTTGTCATTTAAGTCTGTTCAAGTTCAGGTAGTTTGTTTCAGAGATATGTAACCCTCAGAATTTTTTTTTAAAGCTCTGTTTTGCACTTCTTATCAGATAAGTAAATTGAAGTAATCTGAGTAGTTTTTACAATTCCTAAGAGGGTAGTGTGGGAAAATACATTTTGAAAGCTGTGTAGCAATGTTGAATTTGGGGATACGGGGCATTACTTATACAGAGATCGATAACCAGCTAGTCAATAATTTAGGCAATTCTAAAATTTAAGCAAGCACCTTGAACATATTGTACTGCAGAACGCCAACTCCATCTTGTAGATAAAACAGCATGGTGCTCTTGGCTCATGAAAAGGACTGTGTGTTGTGGTGGCTTATGATAGGAAGGAACTGGACTTTGGCCCAGGAGTCTCTTCCAGTCCAATATTAATATGTTTCCACGATCATCATTTTCATTTCTGAAGCCACACAGAAATGTGTTCTTTTAAATATGACCTGAGTGTTTTTTATAAAATTTACTTCCTGTTTTTCTCCAGTTACTTTAATGTCATGGCAAATAACTTGTCTGTTTAACTTTTTTCTTTAAATAACTAAGATAAACACACTGTGTGTGTATATATATATTAATTTACAATCATATGTCTCTATCCCACCATAACATACAACAAGTTTAAAGCTAGACATTTGTGCTGACTATATTCCTTTCATTGCTTCCACATTTAATCATTCTTTCTGAGTAGCTAAAATCACAGGCTCTCTTGTTTCTGGAGTAACGTCATGCAGGTGAGAGGAAGGTTTGGGTGTAACTTGATATGAGAATGGTCTATTTGAACCCTGCCTACCAAGTAAACACAGGGAATTTACTCAATCTTAAAGTGGCTAGTTTCATTTACCAATGGAGGCACCTACAGCTGCAGAGGCTTTTACAGAATAGTTACTTTGATCACATGCTTTTTTTTTTTTTTCCCCTTCCCCCTCTTTCTATGAGCAAGGACAATTCAGTTTCTTATGTATTACCATTAAAGCTGAGGTGAGGCTGTATGATTATAATAGCAAAGATCTCTGATAAAATAATACTGATCAATATGTTCTCTCTCAACAGATGTAAATATGTATAAAAATATCTTAAACGCCCATATCTGTAGCAAACATCAAGTGAAATCAAAGTATTTGGAGAGAGTGAAAACTACTTGAATTCTGCTTTGCATATTTCCTTAACAGTGTCTTTTTATGTGTGTACTATATTGACTGTAATACTTGAGGGGGTAGGGTTGGACTATAGAGACAGAAACATTTTCATCACCGGGGTTGTTCAGGGAAGACTTCTGGGTCTTTCACAGCTTAGTAATATATGAAGTGTTCTTTTGTGGGGGCATCACCAAACAGACTGTAGTGGAAGGAGCTGGACGTGTTATGTGGTATTAAGCAACAAATATGAATGTATTAAAATGAAAATTGTGATTCTGGAGAGTAAGATAATCCTTTCAAATTAACGCCAGTGTTGCATAGTGTCAGATATCAACTATTTCTAACTGCAATATTGTCAGAGCTTTTCTTAAACAAATACTGGATTCAGACATTTTTTAATGACCATAAAGAAGCAAATACGATATAGCACTGTTATCATAAGATCCTTTCTTGGTCATCCTTTAATGAGGGCATTTGAAAAATCTAGAGGCTTGTAAAATCAGCTGGAAAGAAAGATCTGATCTGTCTGCTTCTCCTAGAGACCCTTGCCGAATAAGAGAAGAGAAAACAGATACAGGAGGCATCATTGGGAATGGACTCCATAGCCACTGAGAGAGAGGTTTCCAGGGCAGATAGAAATGAGGCAGCTGGGCACTGTGGGTAGAGCAGCAGAGGGAGAAAGCATCAGGCATGATATTGGTCTGTGACTGGCTTTAGTGGGGCCAGGTTCTATATCTCTCCTTGTGTGGAAAAATAAAAGAGCAGCTAGGTGGCTGGTTAGCATGCCCAGAAGAGAAGCATCTACAGGACACAGAAAAAGAGCTGGGGAAAGCACTAGAGTAGATGAGGTTTATAGATTAAATGAACAGTAACATTTGGTGTGATTCTGTTTTTTCCTCCCAAGGAAAAAATTATCCTACTAAAGTACAGAGAACATTCATGTGTAACTTGGGGGTCTGTTCTTTACTGTCCATAAAACAGTTCTCAGTTCATTATAGAGAGAACATTATAGAAGTGGAAGAAACATGGACGTGCAGAATATTATCATCGTCCTGTATGTCTTGCCTTCAAAGATAGGGTCACCTACAGACTGCAGAATTGGATCCTGTTTTCTGTTTTGTTTTTAATACTTGAGGTAAAACTGTCACTTGCAGAATAAGAGCAGGTATTTGACTGCTTTGTCAATGAAACTCTTGTCTGATTTCATATGTCCAGCTTGGCAGCAATCAGAAAACAGTATGGTTATTTACTATGATTCAGTAGAAGAGCCTCAAACTGCCATGACAAGCAAGATTTATACAAGAACAAATTTGCATAAGAGAGATTATGTATACAACAGGTCCTTTTCTCACATAAACTCTGCTGCTCTCAAAGAGATTTGCTTTTTGAATGTTGCCTGCTTGCCACTTCTGCTTGTTTCTTCTCTGAAATCATAAGGCTGTTTTGTTTTGCTTCAGTTGGATGTTGCAGGAGGACTGTGATGTCATAAAAACACCGTGACATTGATATACCATGACCAGATGGTCTGCGTATGAGCAGACTCCTGTTTAAACAACACAGATAATAATTTAAAGTGGTAGTAGCAGTCATTAAAAGCATAGGCTTCCACTGGGTCTACTTGCATTTTTTTTGAGATACATACAACCTGTTTGTCTCTATAAACTAATGTGTAGTTTACACTGATGGTAGCTAGCGTTGCTCTTTCAACTCTTTGTAAGAGTTGAAGTTTAATAGTTCAAAGTCAGTGTTCAAACAGGAACACCTGCACTACTTTGTCCAGAGTCTCATGACTACAGCAAGCTGCTATATGTTCGCAGTAATGTGTACCTAAAGAACATCATTACTTCTGCAGCTGTCAAAACACTTAAATTTCTCAAGTTTTTTCAGAGGATTTTGTGGCCACTTGTAGTACAGTAGCACACATCAGAACTAAGGTGTTTTTAGGGTAGAGTGGAGTTAAACCAAAGTGACTTAGTGTTGAACTAACCCCTCTGCTATAAATGGAAAGGCAACCAGCAGGTTCTGAAATTTGCCCTTGAGCACAGGAGAAAATACATTTTTAAAGATTGTTCTTTATTCCTGTAAGAAGAAAGGTTATGGCATAATTATCTTCATGTGTACATGTCTGGTCCTGTAGCAAAAGTTAAGTCTCACAAGCATGAATTTAAGGAGGTCTAACTCCTACTAAGATTTTAGGAGACTTCTGTCCTCCTAGGTGACCGAGTGTTTTTTCCATAAGTATTCCAATATAATAAAAGCCTTAGTCTGTCTGCCTTTCCGTAATGCTTTATTTGCACTCTGATTGGTTGTCTGGGCAGCCAATTACAGTGCTGAGTGAAACAACCAGTGTACTCCAAGAGCATTCTGGACAGGAGGTGGCAGCACAGTGGAGTGACGCCATGATGGTGGGGAGAGAGGGGATGGAGCAGGGGGCGAGGCCAGCAGCGCTGGCCTTGCCCTGCCCCAGCCCTGCTTCCTGGAGGCAGCAATGTTACAGGGTGCTAGCCAAGCGGGATGGAGGGGATAGCAGGGCAACACCGCCCCCCCCACCCCACTCCATCCCCGCACATCCACCCCCATCATTCCTGATGGGGAATTGGCTAGTTCCATAAGGAAAATCCCCTATGTTCAGCATCAGTAACTGAGACCACTCAAATGATCCTAACTATAATTTGGTCCTAGTGCTGCTGCTTCCCATCTAGTCCTACTCCATAGTGTGTGGAACCACCCCAAAGTCCTTCCAATAGTTACAGCTGCTCTGTATTCCGTTAATTAAAGCATAAAAATAGGTCAGTAGTGGAGCCTGAAAGAAAAGACTGCAGAGTCCTGCTTCCCAGCCCTTTATTTTATCTGTTAGCTTACATTAAGGAAGTGAATTGTTAAGCCAGTGTCTTCTTTTATTAGGGGAATTAACCATTATTTTGTTCTGCTGTTGTAGTACAACAGGGTTTGGATTCCTGATAGTGAAGAAGTTTGGCAGTCGGCAGAAATCACAAAGGACTACAGAACTGGAGAGCGTGTGCTTCACCTACGATTGGAAGATGGAACTGTAAGGAAAAGAGCCTTAGTTATTGTCTGTAGCCTGGTAGGCTGCCTTTGGCAGGAGACAATAGCACAGATCTTCTTTTGCAATTGTAGGAGTTTTAATTGTACACTAAAGAGCAACCCCCTAAAAATATAAAGAGCTTTATTTTACCCTTCACTCATGTCCCAGTGCACTGAGCCATACTTCTGACAATAGGAACTCTGAAGCCCATCCTAGACTGATGTAAATTAGCATGAGTTCATAGAACTGAACAGAGCTATGGCAGTAATGGGATCAGCTGAGGACTTGGTGTTATCCTTTTACTAAATCCATTGCTTTAGTCTACAATCTGTAATAAATAAGCAGGAGAGCCATGTTATTATGAACTCCTAATTTATAACACTACTTTATCCAAAATGTATTTGTGAGCCACCTCCCTAGTGTGATTGAAGTTTGTTATATGTTCTCTTGATTTTTACGAGTGAAATATATGAAGCACAAGGACAGAGAATGGAGTGAGGCTTTTTCTGAATTGTTATACTGCATTGCTTACCTTCCTAGGCACTCACTATGCAAACTTGTTAGCATGAACACAGGAAGATGTCTGGACTTCACACTTAGAATATTTCTACAGAACAGGGAGATTTGGGAAGCATTATTGAGGAACGAGAAGTGAGGTTGTTTGTTTTAAAACCAATGAGGTTTGTGGTCATTCTAGTTTCTTTGGGAGGCTAGTTGCTCAGTCGTGAGTGTGTTACTAAGCTGTCTCTTGCATGCACATCTCACTTCGGAGGATGATGGTTCCATTGTTCCAGCAGAATGCTTCCTTGGATGCATCTTCCAAAGATGCTTCCTTGGCTAATTTGGGTCAGCTCCCCAGAAACATATTGCCCACATTTTCTGCTCCAGTGAAATTTGCATGGTATGAGACTAGGTAGGGGAAGAAAAGGTGACCTTCTATCATAGGAAGTTAGGGATAGAAGGAACTTCACAAGATCATCTAGTCCCTTCTCAAGGCAGGATCATCCTTGACTAAACTATCCTAGCAAAGTATCTGTCACCCTGATGTTCCCCTCTAAATTGAGGGATTGCTATAAATTCCAGAAGTCTTGAGGAGTGGACTTAAGCTGTTAAATTATGACTGGCTGGCTGGAGCCTCAGTGAGCCATGCTAGCAGCCAGAGTCTATTAGAGCTATGTGAAATTTCAATGAGTGTTTTATTTTAAAGCTGTTCCGACACATTTCAAGCTCAAAACACAAAATCGACATGAAACACAAGGCTTTGAAATGAGACTAAATGAGGGCACTTGAAATGTTTTGAGTTTTGAAGCAGTCCGGAGTGGGAGGCTGGGTAGAGCCAGGGCTATGCTCAGAGTGGCTCCACTAGCACCATGGACCTCAGCCTGGTGGCAGGAGGCAGAGGAAGAGCCAGGGGCAGAGCCATTCCGAGTGTAGCCCTGGCTCCAAGCACAGCCCTGGCCAATGGCTCTTCCCCATCTCCTGCCACCAGGCTCAGCTCCATGGGGCTGTGGAGCCTCCCACCGCCAGGCTGTGCTCCAAGCGATTCCACCACTGGCTCTCCTGCCACCAGGCTGAACTCCATGGGGCTGGCAGAGCCACTTGGAGCACAGCCCTGGCTCCAAGCACAGCCCAGCAGCTGGAGACTTTGCAGCACTACAGAGCTGAGCTTGGGGGTGGGAGGCAGGGGAGAGCCACTGGCCAGGGCTCTGAGCAGCTCCAGCACTGGTTCTCTGCCAGTTCCTGCCACCAGGCTCAGGTCCGTGGGGCTGCCATGCCTGTGCTCGCCAGAATTTTGCTACAAGAGGCTCCACCAGCCACATGGAGCTCAGCCCAGCAGTGGAGAGCCAGTGGTGGAGCTGCTCCAAGTTGCCTGGAGCTAGCAGCAGCACCAGTTTTCCTGGTGCTGGGCATGGGCTGTGACCAGCACCAGTCACAGGCGGCAGCAACAGCCTCCTGTCATCCCGAGCGCAGATCCAGGGTACGCGCCCCCAGGAGGAGTCCAGCACAGCCCTTCCAGTTGTGCAGGCCCCCAGATCTACACGCAGGATGACAGGAGGCTGCTGCTGCTTATTGGGGCCAGTGGCAGCACCAGTCCTTCCCGGTGCTGGACATGGGCTGTGCCCAGCGCCAGTCCCCAATGGGAGCAGCAGCCTCCTGTCATCCTGTGCACAGATCCAGGAGCCTGCACCCCTGGGAGGAGTCCAACACAGCCCTCCCGGGGGTGCAAGCCCCCAGCTCTGTGTGCAGGATGACAAGAGGCTGTCACTGCCAGCAAGTGACGCAAGTTTTGCTTGTCAGCACTTTGAGGTGCACTTTCCCAGAAACCCCTGTACTGATCTCCTTGAAACTTGGCAGACTTCATGCCCTCAGAAGGGGCTACCATCCGTGCAATTTTCATCTGAATCAGGCAAGAAATTACATTGGTTTAGGCATTTTCATAATTCCCCATAATAGCCTATGGGCAAAACAACAAAACATGTCAAAATATTGAAACAGTTTAGACAGAACAAAACGGAACAGTGTTTTGAAACAAAACAAAACATTGTCCTTTCAAAACGGCGAAACAGAAGTCAAAACAAAACGGTGCTGCTTCGCACAGCGCTAGCGTCTATGTCCCAACTATGCCCACACTGTGTAAGCCACACTTGAATTACTCTATCATTCCGCTGTTCATTCTAACCTGCCATTTCTATTTTTTTTCTTTCATGTGAATGAATTCCACAGTGTCTCATTGCACAGTATAAGCCAAGAACACACAGCTTTATTTTTATTAGACAATGAGGGGTCCCATTTACCTTCTTTGTTTACACACATACCATGCACTTCAGTTGAAGATACTGGTATTCTTGGAATAAATACTAAGTTAAATGGTGATCTGTTAAGCATGCAAAGGTTCAGTATAAAGGGAGTGAAAAAGTTCTGTTTGCATTTACGTTTACACTGCACATAATTTTTGTGACAGGAATTGGCTTACTCTGTTGATCCGACAGCCTTGCCACCTCTGCGAAATCCTGACATACTCGTTGGTGAAAATGACCTCACTGCGCTTAGCTATCTCCATGACCCTGCTGTTTTACACAACCTTAAAGTTCGTTTTGTGGAGTCTAAGCTTATCTACACGTATAGTGGTAAGCAAAGACAAAGCCACTGTTTAAAATAAATTATGAAAACGTTTTAAATCATTGCTTGTATTTATTTTAAGCTCATTGAAGTCACTTAGATTTTTGCCACCTCATGTTTCTGCATAGTAATTGGTTTAGATACATATACAGCAATTGGAAATAAATGTACTTATGGTTGCCAGGTTTCAGTGAATGCATCTGTTCATTGTTGTAGAAAACAAGAATGAGTTCTGATTTTTGTATTGTATTTTTCCATAGGAATCATTCTGGTTGCAATGAACCCCTACAAACAATTACCAATTTATGGAGATGCTATTATCCATGCATATAGTGGGCAAAACATGGGGGACATGGATCCACACATATTTGCTGTGGCAGAAGAGGCTTACAAGCAAATGGCAAGGTACACTATTATGTTGTGTATTTAACATTCGCTTTCTGAAATGCATTATTTGCCCTGAGATTTTTAAATTATAACATAAATAATAACTGTTTTACTTTGTAACTTCATGGGTAGCTAAGATTACATTGGTATGGTTAATGTTGTATAGTAGGCCTATGTGAAGCAGCTAGTGTTCGCTTCAGATTCGGATTCCACCGGTTCAGAGAACAGTGATCCGAATCACTGTCCTGAATCGATTCAGCTGCCACTGAATTGGCTGAACCTCTGAATCAAACAGGCCCCATCCCAGCCCTATCAATGGCTGCCTCGCATGGCCCCAGCATTCTGGCTCTTTCATAGATATCATAGACATTTGGGCTGGAAGGGACCCTGGAGGATCATCGAGTCCAGCCCCCTGCCCCAGGGCCAGGAAGTCGGCAGGGATCATAGGATCCCAGCAAGATAAGCATCTAAATGCATCCTGAAGGCATTCAAAGTGGGTGCTTGAACCGCCTCTGGTGGCAGTCTATTCCAAACCTTGGGGGTTCGGACAGTGAAGAAGTTCTTTCTTATGTCCAGCCTGAATCAGTCGCGGTGGAGTTTGTGACTGTTCAATCTAGTCATCCCTTGGGGCGCTGTGGTGAACAGACGTTCCCCCAGATCCTGATGAGCATCCCTGATAAACTTATAGGTGGCCACCAGATCACCCCTGAACCTGCACTCTTCCAGGCTGAAGAGTCCCATGGCTCTCAGCTTCTCATAATAAAGTCTGTTTTCCTGACCTCTGATCATGCGCATGGCCTTCCCTCTGCACCCTCTCAAGCTTCTCCACATCCTTTTTGAATTGTGGAGCCCAAAACTGGACACAGTACCCCAGCTGTGGCCTCACCAAGGCTGAGTACAATGGGAGAATGACATCCCAGGATTTGCCTGAGAAGCATCTATGGATGCAAGCCAGCATTTTGCTTGCTTTGCTAGCTGCAGCATTGTTCATGACCCCCAAGTCCCTTTCATCTGTGGTGCTAGCCAGCGTAGCACTGCCAAGCCTATAAGCGTGCTGCAGGTTTTTCCTCCCAAGGTGGAGAACCTTGCATTTTTCGGTGTTGAACACCATCATGTTCTCATCCGCCCATTTCATGAGCCTGTCAAGATCTGCCTGGATCACCCTCCTGTCCTCAGGTGTGAATGCTTTGCCCCAGAGTTTGGTGTCATTGGCAAACTTGGCCAGTCTACTGGCCCCCACTGAAGACCGCACACGAAGACGATTGGCTCCCGTCAACCACCACCCTGTGGGTCCTACCGCGGAGCCAGTTCCCCAGCCAGCGGATTGTGGTGAGGTCGAGGCTGCAGTTAGCCAGTTTAACCAAGAGGTGATCGTGGAATACCAGATCAAAGGCTTTTTTAAAGTCAAGATATACAACGTCAATCTCTTCCCCCTTGTCCAGGTGATAGGTCACTTGGTCATAAAAGGAAATGAGATTGGTCAAGCAAGACCTACCTGCAACAAACCCATGCTGGGTATCCCTCAGGGTATTGCCTTCAGCTAGTCTGTTAAGGATGGCCTCTTTGATAATCTTTTCCAAGACCTTCGCCAGAATAGAGGTCAGGCTGATAGGCCTGTAGTTTGCTGGATCTACGTTCCTCCCTTTCTTGAAGATAGGCACAACATTGGCCCCCTTCCAATGTTCGGGTACTTCACCAGAGCACTAGGAGTCCTCAAAAATCAGTGCCAGGGGCTGAGCTATGTTGCTTTCCAGCTCCTTGAGTACCCTTGGGTGTAACCCGTCAGGGCCAACTGACTTGAAGGTATCCAGCCTGTCAAGATGTTCCTTGATGAGATCAGCTGCGATGAAGGGCAAGGAATCCCCCTCACCTGGGCCTCCCTGACCCACAGTGGGCAGGGGTGTCCCATGGGACTGGTGAAAAACTGATGCAAAGTACCCATTTAGTAAGTTGACTTTTTCCTGGGCATCAGTTGTCCCATCTGGTTTAGCAGGGGTCCAATGTTGCCCTTGCTTTTCCTCCGGCTCCCTGCATATCTAAACAAAGACTTTTTATTGTCCTTGATGTTTGTTTGTAGCTAGCTGGAGTTCCATCACAGCCTTGGCTTTCCTGGTTTGCTCTCTGCAGGTCCAGACCAGAGCAGAGTATTCCTCCTTGGTAGTGGTTTCAGTCCTCCATCCTTTGTAAGTCTTCCTTTTAAGACACAGGAGGTCCGCCAGTTCCCTGGAGAGCCAAGGGGGCTGCTGTGTCCTTTTGCTGCCTTTCCTCCAAGACAGGATGAACTTTGCTTGCGCATCCAGGATTGCTCCCTTGAGGAGCAACCACCCATCCTGAACTCCCTTTTCCTTTGGGTTGTGGCCCTTTAGGACCTCTCTGACAAGCCTCCTTAGCTTGTCAAAGTCTGCTTTCCTGAAGTCGAGGACTTCTGTATTACTGACTGACTTGCCAGCTTTATGGCAGATGGTGAAGGTGATCAGCTCATGGTCACTGTCACCCAGCTTCCCTTCGATTGTTAGGTCACTGATTAGGTCATCCTCAGCTGTCAGAACGAGGTCAAGCAGTGCTTTACCTCTCGTCAGCCCGTAGACTTCCTGCGTTGGATAGAGGTCATCCATGCTCGAGAGAAAGCTTTGCGACCATTCGGATTTGGTTGAGCACTCCTCCCACAAAATGTCTGGGTAGTTAGTCTCCCATGACAACCATATATGAGGAGCGTGCGGCCTCAGCCAATTTGCGGGTGAACTCCTGGTCAAGGTCTTGACCCTGGGTAGGGGGTCTGTAGTAGACTCCCACCATAGTATCCCCTGTGCCGTGTTCCCCACGGATTTTAACCTAGAGGGTCTCAAGTCGTCCACCCTCGGTTCCAGTGTCAGGTTGTAGGGACGCGTAGCTTTCCTTGATGTAGAGAGCTACACCCCTACCCCTTTTGTCCACTCGATCCCTCCTGTACAGGGTATAGCTGTCTATACCTGTGGCCAGTCATGGGTGGAGTCCCACCAGGTCTCCTTTATCCCAATAACATCATAGTTATTTTTGTTTAGCAGGAAAACAAGTTCCTCCTGTTTATTCCCCAAGCTCCTGGCATTTGTGTATAGGCACACAAGTGCCCCTATGGGGGCCCTTGCCTTGCCTACATTTTGTTCCAGGGCTGGGGCTGGGGTGGGAGCTCTTAATTGCCTTGGCCTGCTGGCTTTGCAAGGGTTGTTCTCCAGGCCAGCAGTGGCAGTAGAGTCCCCCCCATCCTCCAGCGGACTTAGTTTAAAGCCCAGTGAAGCAGGTCAGCCAGTTTGGCTGAGAAGAGCCTCCTCCCTGGCAGAGAGAGGTTGAGGCCGTCCCTTCCAAGCAGCTCACTGCCTCTCTCTCCAAAGAGCCGACTATGGTCATAGAAGCCAAAGCCTTCCCAATGACACCAGCACCGCAGTCTTTGGTTGACTACCTGGATCCTCCTTTCCCTCCTCAGCCCATACCCCGAGACTGGGAGGATCGAAGAGAACATCACCTGTGCCCCCAGACCCTTAAGCCCCACACCCAAATCCCTGTAGTGCCTCGTATCCCGGCTGGGAGCGCTCCAAGCCATGACATTGGTGCCCACATGGATGAGGAGCATAGGATAGTAGTCTGTGGGCAGGAGGAGTTTAGAGATCTCCTCCGCAATGTCTCGGATTCTGGCTCCCAGGAAGCAGCAGACTTCCCGGGCTAAGGGGTCGGGGCGGCAGATTACCCCCTCGTTCGCCCTCAGGATGGAGTCTCCCACAACAAACACTTTGTGTTTGGTCTTGGGGAGAGCGGGGGCGGTAGCTACAGTATTGTCTGTGTTGCCTGCGGGAGCTGGCAACACAGCAGGCTCTGCTGGGGCTGCAAGAGGTTTGTACTTGTTGCTGAGCTCCAGCAGGGCAGGGGTCTTGGTGTGGCGGACCTTGGGGCCCTTCGCCACCTTGGTCCAAGCCCTGGGGTGGACAGTAAGGGGAAAAAAAGAAAAAAGCCCTGCACTCCCCACTGTCCCATGCTACATGGGGGGCTCTGCCACAAGCCCCCAGAAACCCTGAAAGCCGCTGCAACAGTCGGTGAGTGTGGGGCTTTTTTTCTTGTTAAAGAGCTGGGGCTGAGGGAGTGGGCGGGGGATGGGGGCTTGTGGCAGAGCCACTCACACAGCGCAGGACAGTGGCAAGCAGCAGGCCATCTGGCGGGAGCCAGTGAGTGTGGGAGTACTTTTTTTTTTTAAAAAGCTGGAATGCTGGGGCCTGGCGGGGCAGCCATTGATGGGGCTGGGACAGCAGGCAGGAGTCAGGAGATGCTCACGGGGGCTGAGGGAGCAGGCAGGGGATAGGGCAGGGTGGGCAAAATGTGGCCTGTGGCCACATGTGGCCCGCCAGGACATTCTATCTGGCCCATGGAGCCCCTAAAGAATTTAGAAAACTAATATTTATCTGATCTGGGCTGCCTGTTATGTGGCCCTCATTGGCTTGCCAAAACTCAGTAAGGGCCCTCCGCCCAAAATAATTGCCCGTCCCTAGGATAGGGCCTGGTGGCGGTCCCCCCCTGTGCCCCCACCCCTGCTACTTACCAGCATGGTGTCCGGGTCCAGCTCCCTGTGGCCGGGTCCAACTCCCTGTGGTGAGTGGAGACTACCCGAATCTCCGAAGTTCTCTGAATCTTTTCCGAATCAATTCGGACCTTTTTATTGGTCTCCTGATTTGATTCGGGTTTACAGATTGAGCCACTGAATTGGGCCGAATCTCCTTCGAATCAAATCAGTACCCGAAGCTTTGCACAGCCCTATTGTATAGTCCACCCTCAAGGAGGGGAAAACCGTGCGCGCTTATGGAGACATGCTAAGTGGTCAAGAGCTTTTAGAATATACATCTTGTTGGCCAGAGGAAAGACAAAAGTGATCCCAGTGAATTGTGGTGATACTAGATTACAAAAGATAAATGTGAGGGGAAAAAGCCAAAAGCCCAAGGAGGAAGTGAGAGTGATTAGCGGCTTTGGCCATAACTGCAAGTCCATGCAGTTATTTCATGTGTGTAGATTATTAGATATATACACTTCTTAAATTTGCAAGATATTTAAAGTATCTTTATTACTACTTTGTTTTAGAAATAACAAAAATCAGTCCATTATAGTCAGTGGAGAATCAGGAGCTGGAAAGACTGTGTCTGCTCGGTATGCTATGAGGTATTTTGCCATGGTCAGTAAGTCAAGCAGCAATGCACATGTTGAGGATAAAGTATTGGCTTCCAACCCAATAACAGAGGTAAAATTACGAATGTATCTCTAAAAGATTTTTATATTTGTTAAGGGGAGTATCTTGAAAACTGGTGAACACCTGTCACTGAAGGCATTCTGGAAGGCAAGTTCCAGAACTTCTGGAATTGTAGCAAGCTATATAAGGCCTGGATTTTCAGCTGGTTAGTGTAGTTCAAAATATTTATGCCCTTTTTTTCTGAATCACAGATTTGTTTAATTTTCTTATGTGCCTGAATCCTGGACTATAACATATACTTAGTATAATGTGTACAGTCTATATATAGTTCCTCCAGTTCCATATTTCCCTTTAACCATCTTTTAATAAAAATAAAATCCTTCAGATCTGGCCTGTCATTGCCAAGCCCCAGTCTAAATCACTAGTCATATTTTTGAAGAGTTGAGTACTTGCATCTCTCCTAAACTTCTGTGAGATCAGAAATCTCTATGCTTTTAAAAAATACACCACTGTTAAGTTTCTGACTATTAGAACCCTAATTTAAACTGTTTATCTGTTAATGTAGATTTTAAATTTAAGTTATCAAATTGAGATATGCTATGTAAAGAACACAAGAACTTTTAATAAATTAACAGATTCTGTTGTGTTGCAGTTTTGAAGGTTTTGTTTTGTCATGTAATTTGAATTAGTAGAGAAGATTCTGGGATTTAGGGTATGGGAGGGAAAACAGGCATGGTTTTGTAGTTGTGGATAGAAAAAGCTTGAAAGCTTTGTACTAAGGATGTATATTTTATCTGATGTTCAGAATATACTGTGCAACTTTTAATATATGCATTTTACCTTGGGACTAATTTTCAGACTCAAGCCTCACAAAGTAGCTCCAGTATTCCACATTTTTGTGCTTCCAGAGATCACTGGGCACTGAAATCTTTGCCATCTAAGTCATGGTTTAAGGGAGGTGTCCCCATGTGAAAGCCTGAACGATTCCTTTGAAACAAACTGGTTGTTAAAGAGATTATACTTTTTATAGGCTGTGGGTAATGCAAAAACAACACGCAATGACAACAGTAGTCGGTTTGGGAAGTATACTGAAATCAGCTTTGATCGCAGGCATCAGATCATTGGAGCAAATATGAGGACGTATCTACTTGAGAAATCCAGGGTTGTTTTTCAAGTGAGTAAAATTGATTCCAAATGCCAACTGCAATGAAATCACTGCTATACAATTCTCTGACTCTATTAGAATTTAACTGAGGTTGTAAGGTCATATTTTCATAACATGTATTAATTTTATTTAGCGTTTAACTTCATCTAGAATACAAGACCAGCCTTAATTAGGCATGCATCTCTCCATCTGCTTATACTACATAGAGTATGACAGAAGACGCTGGTCTCTTAGAATTGTATATGTGATGCCATTAACTTGATGAAAACATCACTTTGTATGGCTTAATGGCATCATGGGGTACATGTGCAAGACTTTTGTGCGCGTTTTAAATGATTCTGCATCATTGCAAACCAGAATACATCCAGATATAGTTCAGTGTGCACTGTTGCTGCAGCGATCCAGTAGGGCTGTGTGAAGCTTCGGTCCCCAATTCGATTTGGCGTAGTTTCGGCCTGATTCGGTGGCCAAATCTCCGAATCGAATCAGGAAACCCTTGAATCTCTCTGAATTGAAATCAGAACCCTCCGAATTGATTCAGAGAGATTCAGAAAGATTTGGTGATTTGGACATAGACACAAATTTAAATGTTTTTTTCTACATACTTCTAGGTAGCAGGCGGCTTGTGAATACTGCAATTCTGGGGCACATGGAGTGTCCCTCAGGAGTGCCAGGGGCTCCCCAGTGCACTCAGCAGCAGACCTGAAAGTGCACCAGAAGCACTTCTGGTCCTCTTCTAGGTCCACTAGGGGGTGTGCAGGGGGGTCCCCCTGCATCCCTCTGGCTCGGCAGCTGGTGCCTCTTGGGTCTAGGGGGGTGCATCTGGGGTCCCCCCTGGCCGATTGCTGAGCTGGCCCCTGCCTGCCCCGCCCCCACCCCCCCAGGTGCTTCCCAGCAGACCTGGAAGTGGACCAGAAGTATTTCCAGTCCACTTCTGGGTTTGCTGCCGAGCATGTGGAGAGCCCCTCTGCGCTCCTGTGGGTTGCTCCATCTGCCCCAGCATTGCAGTGTTCCCAAGCCATGCTGGTAGCTCAAGGTATGTAAAAAAAAAACATTTAAAGCTGTGTCTGTGTTCGAATCGCTGATTCACCAAAGCAGCATCGAATCTTCAGATTCAGCCCAGTCAAATCAGGGACAGTGATCCAAATCAACAAATTGAATCACTGTCCCTGATTTGGGCCGAATCCGAATTGGATAGGGCCTGTTTCACACACCCCTACGATGCAGCTGTCAGGTCGCCCCCCAGCCGCAGGAGAGACAGGCAGGGTCTTTAGAAAAAAAGGATCAGACCCCTTGCCACTTTTGCCTTCAACAGGTGCCTGATGAAGGCAGAAGCGGTGAGGGGCCTGATCCTTTTTTGTTAGAGCCTGCCCTCCTCTCCCATGGCCAGTGGGGAAGCTGTCAGTGGGCTGAGCAGCCCCTGAGCTATGGGGGGGCCCCGGTTCTTCCCTCTATGGTGATGGTGCTCCCCACGGCCACCCAGGCAGGCTGCTAGCAGGCCAGGTGCTGCCCCAACTCGGGGTCAGGAAAGAGTTGGATTGGGCCAGGTGCTGCCTCCAAGCTGGAGCAGCACCCAGCACGCTAACATCCCACCCCAGTATTGCAGGGTATCACCACTGCGGAGGAAAGCCATGGGAGAGATGGGCTGGCTCCTCCAAAATAAAGGATCAGACCCCTCAGCTTCTGCCTTCAGCAGGTACCTGCTGAAGGCAGAAGTGGTAATAGGCTAGATCCTGGTTTTTTTTTTTGGCTTTTCCAGTAAAGCCTACCTGTGGCTGGGGGGTGGGGTGAGCTGCTAGTGGGCTGAGCAGCCCTTGAGCTATTGGAAGGCTCCAGTCCATCACTTTGCAGCAGTGGGGCCATCTGGGCAGGCTGATAGTGGGCTGGGTGTTGCCCCAGCTTGTAGGCAGTACCCAGCTTGATCCAACCATTCCCTGAGCCCGCTTGCTGGAAGCCTGCTTCCTGGGCAGGCTCAGGGAACCAGTTGGATTGGGCTGGATGCAGCCTCTGGGCTGGGGCAGCACCTGGCCCACTAGCAGCCTGTCCAGGTGGCCCCAGGGGATGCCACAACTGCAGAGGGAAGGACTGGGGGCCCTGCTGCTCAAGGGCTGCTTGGCCCTCTTGCAGGTCATCCTCCAGCTGTGGGCAAGTTTCGGCTCCAACAAATAAAAAGGATCGGGCCCATCACTGTAACGTGACACAAAAATTGAAATGGTGGGTTTCAATTAAAAACCCACTGTTTCAATTCAGAGGGCATAGAATAAAACATTGGGGATTAAACCTGCGTCATGTGTGCAAGCACCCATGGGAAGATGTACAGTGAAACAGTATGTTGCACCTATTGCTTGCTGCCCATCGTGACCTCAGGCCACAAAATGGAAGTCTGCTTTGTGTGGCAAAGATGAGGAAGAGGCCAGGTGAAAGAAGGAGTTGTAAACTTCTGCTCTGTGCAGTACATTGGCTTCTCAGGACAAGACTGAGAAGGGGGATGAATAAGTGCATGGGATCTTGTTTTTGGCATTATTTAAGCAAAGGATGCGTGTAATATTGGAGCACACAATGGAAATGAACCTGAGGCATTTGGAAAGAGCAAAATCACTTAATTTATATTGTTGTCTTTGCCAGCTAGTTGAAATAGTATGGCCAGCCTAGTTGTAACTTATTTTCCCTCAGTAATTTCTGTGTTGCTTTGCTCCCAAAGTTTTCTTTTGTCATGCTGAAGACAAGGTTAAATTGAGTTACTTGGTTGGGATGAGGTTAAATGAGAGATGAAAGTGAATACAGGCAACCCTCGCTTAGTACTCTTAATTGGTTCCCAGAAAACCAAGCATTAAGCGGAACAGTGTTAAACGAAACCCACTTTCCCATAGGGATTAATGTAAATAAATACAATTTGTTACTAGGATGCCCAGCAGCAGCGACATGAGCACCTGGTAGCTCAGTCCCAGCTCAGCTGGTGCTGTGCCATTTCTGCCTGCCCAGGCCCAGGCTGCGGAGGTGGTGCTGTTGGTCCCCTCCATGATGGGCGGCAGGCAATGGGGGTGGTCACAGCTATAGTCATGGTCACTTCAGGTTGGCTCCCCCTTCTCCCTGCTGGTGCAGCCCGCCTTGACTCCATAGCCAACCTGGACCCCATGCTCCTGCCAGCCCACCCTGGGACCCTGCTGGCCCTGTCCCAAGGGCATCTCTGTGGGCCCCACACTCACACCTGCCCACCTATTCATCTCTCCATCTGCCGCCACCATTTCCCTGCTTTCCTGCCCACCACCACCTCTTCTCCCCACCCCACCTCTGCCCACCCACTGTCCGCTCTGGCACCACGCGATTCCTGGCTGCATCGCCACTTGTTAACAGAGTTAACATCCCTCCTGAAGTGTGGCGCCCAGAACTGGACGCAGTACTCCCAACTGCAGCCTGACCAGTGTCCTCCCCCTCTATGCAACACTGGTCAGGCCGCAGTTGGAGTACTGCGTCCAGTTTTGGGTGCTGCACTTCAAGAGGGATGTGGACAAACATGGAGAGGGTCCAGAGGAGGGCTACCCGCATGATCAGGGTTCAGCAGGGCAGGCCCTACAAGGAGAGGCTCAGGGACCTGAACCTGTTCAGCCTCCACAAGAGAAGGCTGAGGGGGGACCTAGTGGCCATTTACAAACTGGTCAGGGGGACCAGCAGGCATTGGGGGAGTCCCTGTTCCAATGAGCACTACCAGGAGTGACAAGAAATAACAGTCACAAGCTGGCAGAGGGCAGATTTAGGCTAGATATTGGGAGGCGCTACTTCCCTGGCAGGGCGGCTAGGATCTGGAACCAACTTCCAAGAGAAATGGTGCTGGCTTCTACCCTGGGGGGTTTTAGAAGGAGCCTGGATGAACACCTTGCCGGAGTCGTTTGCAGTGGAATTTACACTCTAATTGCTCACCCTTTTCAACTGTAGTCAAATATCAAAAGTTATTCCATGTTCATTTCTCTTTCTGTAATGAGTTTCTTTTCTTCTATTTACAGTCAGAGAATGAAAGAAACTACCACATATTCTATCAGTTGTGTGCATCTGCTCTGCAACCAGAATTTAAGCCTCTTAAATTGGGTAGGTTTCAAATACCTAAGTTACTTTTTAACTTTGCAAAGGTATATTTTAAGGGTTTTTCCCCCCAAAACCACCCAAACCTTTGTTGGGAAGTGCAGCATATAAATCTAATAAACAATAATAAATCTAATGGGGAATTTGCTGTTGACTTTCAGGGCAAAGGGTTAGGCAATGCGCCTCTGCACATGTTTAATGCAGTGCCAGGCACTTTTAATTAGCTCAGCTTGCTAATTAAAAGCTCCCAGTACCACATCTGGAGCACATGTAGAAATGTCCACTGTGCCTGTCATTGGCACCCTCCTCTGAGCAAGATGCCACCTGAGCCAGAAGCAGTGCAGCTATGTGAGTGTGTTACTTTGGGCTGGGTGCCTGTTCTGAATGACAGGGTCAGTAGCCTGCTCTCATGTAAACTAACCTGCCCATGTGCTGGTGCAGACACAACCACAGTGTTTCCAGCCTTTGAAAATTCTATTGCACATCTTCATTTAGTGAAGGTTGTCATAGTGATAGCCTTGGAGACTGATGGCTTCTCTGTTCTATATGTTCTAAACTTCTACCTGTTAAAAGCCCTAGAACCGTATGACTGTTGTGTCTCCCATAACTGTTCTTCAGCCCTTCTGTTAAGACTGTCAACCAGAGTGCTAGTCAGTGCCACTTGTGCTGGTTTTATTATGGATTCCTGCCTACTAATAAGTGGACTCAGGTCACCAGCTCATTTTAGAATTCCTGACAGACAGTAGCAGTTTACATTCATTACTGACCTCATGGTGAAAGATTCTCTGTCCTGATACCAAACTTGTTCAGTGTTGTCAATTCTACCTTTCATCTGCAGGGAGTGCAGAAGAATTTAATTATACACGAATGGGTGGCAATACTGTTATTGAGGGAGTCGATGACAGAGCAGACATGATGGAAACTCGGAAAACGTTCACTCTTCTAGGTAAATAAGAATACTTGACCTGAACTAAGAAAATAAGTTAAGTTCTGAAATGACCAGAGAGATGCATATGCTTTAAATAACTGGTGAGTTTGTGTAGTAATTACACAAACACAGCAATTATCAGTTTACAAGTTGGTTTTATTGTGAATGATATAAATCAGTGAGGGCTAGAGTCTGACTCACCTTTATGCTGGCATCAAGTGGAGGAAAGGAAACACAGAACGTTCCTTATCCTTGTGTGCCTGACATAAAGGCCACAGAGAACTGTAGCTCTTCTGTTCATGAAAGTACTTGAATTTATTCCCATGCTGCCAAGATTGAAAAGGGTAGAAAAATAGGCAGAAATGTGTCTGTGAATAGCAAGCAGTGAAGCCCTATGGAATTACAAAGGATACAGGCTGTAGCTGTATTGATCTACAGGCAAAAGGAATCAGAACTCTGGGTAGAGGTGACATAATTTATTAGACCAACTAGATATTTGCAAAAAAATTCTTTCTTTGCAAGCTTTCAGGCACACTCGCAGAAGAAGGGTGTGTGTGCCCAAAAGCTTGCAAATAATTTTTTTTTTTGCAAATACCTAGTTGGTCTAATAAATTATGTCACCTCTACCCAGAGTTCTGATCACTATGGAATTACTAATTATTTGAAGCAGAATTGAAAGTGTTGCAAGATCTTGCTTTTCATCAATAGATTTTGTCTTTTTACTGTATTTAAAAAATCCCTCTTGTTTTTTAGGTCTGAAGGAAGATTTTCAGATGGATGTTTTTAAGTTACTGGCAGCAATCCTGCACTTAGGCAATGTGCAAATAATGGCTGTTGGTGATGACAGATCATCAGTCAGTGTAAGGAATCTGTTCATTCATTCAAAGATCTGCTAACTTTTTCTTTATTTGGTGGACAATTGCTAATCCTCTCAGATGTGTCCCAGACACCTAGAATATGTTTCCTCAGTTTACATGTTACAGGTTGCCTTGATGCATCCTTTTATTTGTGAGACATTTCTTGTATAAATCTTTTGTCTCAGTTCTGGGATTTGGATATCAGCTCTAAATCTGGCAAATTAAAGTTACTTCACAATGTCACTTGCCTAATATAATTCTCAGCTGAACACTCAAAATAGTTGCTTTTAAGCCAATGCTGTTAAGACGATGCATGTTTGAGGTAAAAAGGAGAAGGATGTGGTCAGCATTCCCCTGTTTCCTGCTGATCTGCAGCTACTGGAATGGCCCTTGTGACTGCTTGTAGTCTGTGCAAGACAGCAGCCTCAAGGCTGCTCAGATTTGTGCCAGCAGTCTAAAACAGTGGTTCTCAACCTTTTTAGACTTGAGACAACCTCAATAGATTTGAGGCACCCCTCAGTAGACTCAAGCCTCCCCTCAGAAATTGCCCGCTCTGAGTTTTCACTAATTTCTTACTATAGAAAAATAATAGTGCAATTCTTCTGTTGTAAACATCTCAGGGAACAGGTTAGAATGGTTTTAACACTATGGATTCCTGCTTGAAACTGGGTTTATCTTGTTTGCAAACCTAATAGTGCTAACATTGTATGGCACCCTGTGGCACTCTGGAAAAAAATCTCAAGACACCCTAGGATGCCATGGCACCATGACTGAGAATCACCGGTCTAAACCAACATTTAGTGGCACCCAAACCAGGGGAACTCAATATAGCTTAAAGCTAGTTTTCTTTTCTTTACTCTGCACTAGGTTCATCTTGTCCAGTCCAGGGGAGCTATCCCTCTGTGTAGCGATGGTTCTGTTGAGCATTACATACTCCATAAAACTCCTTCTAACATCAGTAGGAATTTTTACTTGAATAACAAGTGCTGAGTATGGTCCTATATCATAAACAATCCCATAGGTTGAAATCCTGACCTTTTTGAAGTCAACACATATGCGGCCATTAACTCCAACAGGGCCAGGATTCCACCTATATATTTTAAGTATTCATTAGATACAACTTTTAAATACGCTCTGTTAATATTTATTTTTCTCCTTTAAAGCTGGAAGATAAACATCTTGATATATTCTGTGAACTTCTGGATTTAGATAGTGAACCAATGGCACAGTGGTTGTGCCAACGAAAGATTATCACTTCCTCAGAGACTGTAATAAAGCCAATGACAAAACTACAAGCTCTTAATGCCAGGGATGCATTGGCAAAGAAAATCTATTCTCACTTGTTTGACTACATTGTGGAAAGAATTAACCAAGCCTTGCAGTTTACTGGGAAGCAGCACACTTTTATCGGCGTCCTAGACATTTATGGGTAAGATTTTTCTCCAGAGTTAATGTATGTAATGTTCTACCTTTCTTTTCAGTCAGTATATCTCTAGTCTCTGACCTGTATGCCTGTGCATTTGGGAAATGTTATGTACTTTCTGTGTTACTGTGAATTAGATTTAAAAGGCTCCATTTATCCACAGGGATGCAGTCTTGTATTCTGTAAAATCTTCTGCCTGCAGTACAGTAGCACAACTTATTTATGAAGATTACTCTTTATTGCGTCTTAAAGTAACAGTTGTCTTTGAGTTTGTTACTTCTCATGATACCAGTCTTTCACATTCACCTTTTCAGAAATGTTTTTGGGGAACCCACTCTAAAGGTACTGTTTCTTTGGTGTACAATGTGCTTCTTTACTGGTTGGTTATCTTAGTTTTTGGGATGTTTTCAATTCCATTGTATTTTCAGGCCTGAGCTAGGAAATTTGAGAGAATATAAAGTTAATATATATTTCTATTATAAGCAGCATCTTACTCCAAAGTCCCATGGAAAATTAGCATTTACTCTTAAGTGATCATTTGCCTACTTTTCCCCATGCTATTATATCTTCTTCTTATTTATAATGTATTTCAGCTTTGAAACTTTTGATGTGAACAGTTTTGAACAATTTTGTATCAATTATGCTAATGAAAAACTACAACAGCAATTTAACCTGGTACGTGAGTATGTTTTGTTGCAATTGTATATCTTGACTGGTATGTATTATAACAATTCACAGTAATAAAGAAGAGATTTTGGTTTTTGTATATAAAAGCCCACTTTTTTCAAAGATACATACTGTACTATATATCACATGAACATTGTAGTTTTCCCTATGTTTTTTTAATGTATTAGTAAACTGCCTGCATTGTGTGTTTCTAAATTATTAACTTGTATTTTTGGTAATGTTGACATTTTCATTGCTAGCATGTCTTTAAACTTGAACAAGAGGAGTATATGAAGGAAGATATCCCATGGACCCTAATAGATTTTTATGACAATCAACCAGCCATTGACCTTATTGAAGCTAAAATGGGAATATTGGAGCTGCTAGATGAAGAGTGCTTGGTAACTTCTAACTTTTTATACTAATGAACTGGCATATTAAACAATGAAAACACTTCTTCACGTTGTGTTTTGACCAAAATTTGGGGTTTAACCCATTTTTTCCCTTTCAAAATTTAAAGATAAGCACCTTGCTGATGCAGTGACAGATCTCTGAATTTCTTGATTATGTTCTACAGATTCAGAGAATCTATTTTATTATTGGCAAGAAGTAGAGCAGGGGAGTTACCTTAGAGACTAATGGGTTCTAAGATTGTGTGGTCTGTGTTGAGGGGGCACAGATGGCATCTGGGTCAGGACCAAGGTCTGGCTTGGTGAGAATTGCCATTAGATAGCAGATAGAACAATAGCATGTATATTAATCCATATATAATGAAAACAGGTTGCTTAAAGGAATGGAGAAGAGCTGTAAAGTAGGAGCAAAGAGATATTATCAGGAGTGGCTACAAGAGAAGTGCAGTAGAATAAAGAACCTGATTACTAAAAGAATAATAGCACCAGAGAGGAAAGGAGCGTGTAGAGATTAATGATACAAATATGGCAAAACTGCTCCATCTTTAATGCTGAATGAAATCCTGTTGATGTGATTTTGCTACATTTGTAACTTTATCAGCTTGTTCACACATAACGATTAGAATATAACAGCTGCTGTTCTTGCTTAAATCCATTTGTTTGCTTTTTTTTATTCCACTTAAAATTCAGAACAAAGGACAGAGCCCATTTAAGTCATCAAGTCTAGTCGCCTGCTGTTGTAGGCAACCAAGCTTCCCTTCCTCATTTTCACCTACACCTTAGCTATACCAGAGCTGCACCCCTTCTCTTACAGCAGTCCCACTTGCTGCCTGTGCACCATCCAACCTTCTTGTCTTACAGTTTCTCACCTTCTTTCTCACCATTTCTTTATCTGTTATATCAGGCACATGCAGCAAGGGTCTGTATTTTAAAGGGAAAACATAGTCTTATTTATAAAGGACAAGACCAGGAAAGAAAAGATCTCCCAGGAGATTTCTTTGTAACACTGTGTGAAAGAGCAACTTTGGTGTCTGCCACTTTAAGGGCTTAAAGCAGGCAGCAGGCAGCAGGACAGCTGGCAGGTGTGGACCAGCCCTCATGAGGTGGTCACATGACTCCAGGAGGATCCTGTGATTGGAGGAGGGAGCTGAGCAGCCTCCATTTTAACTCAGGCCCTCATTGCTAAGCCAGCACACTGCTGCTGGCAGCCGGAAGAACACCACCCAACTGATAGGGCTGTGTGAAGCTTCAGTCACTGATTCAATTCAGTGGAGATTTGGCCCGATCTGGTGGCTGAATCTCCAAATCCGAATAGAATAAGGAGACCCTTTAATCTCTCTGAATCAATTTGGAGCATTCCAATTTGATTCGGAGAGATTTGGAAAGATTCAATGATTCAGACATAGATGCAGCTTTAAATGTTTTTTCTACATACTTTGAGGTACCAGGCGACTCATAAATGCTGAGACGTTGGGGCAGATGGAGCATCCCACAGGAGTGTGGGGGGCTCCCCAGTGCACTCAGCAGCAGACCTGGAAGTGGAACAGAAGCACTTTCGGTCCACTTCTGGGTCCACTAGGGAGTGCACAGGGGAGCCCCCATGTACCCCCCTGGCTCAGCAACTGGTGCCTCCTGGGTGTGGGGGGGACACCCGCAGTGGCTGATCACCAAGCCGGGGAGGCATGGGCCCCGCCCCCCCATGCGCTTGGCGGTGGACACAGAAGTGGACTGGAAGTACTTTTGGTCCACTTCTGGGTTTGCTGCCGAGTGCACACGCCCTGCCTCCCCCTCTTCCCCCCCCCCGCCGCCCTGGCGCTCCTGTGGGACACTATCTGCCTCACCATAGCAGTGTTCATGAGCTGCGCCTGGTATCTCAAGGTATGTAGAAAAAACATTTAAAGCTGTGTCTGTGTCTGAATCGCTGATTCTCTGATTCAGCATCGAATCTTCAGATTTGGATTTGGCTGAATCGAATCAGGACACTGATCTGAATCAACGAATCGAATCGCTGTCCCTATTTGCCAGATCCAAATAGAATGTTGCACGTTTCGCACACCCCTATCAGCTAAGCTGCTGCTCAGAAAATTCTTGGAGGTAAGGGCAGGAGCTATGGGGATGGCAGGAGGCTCTTGGTCCTGCGGTATGACTGAACACTACACCCTGCTGGGATAGGATAGCATAGTGGGTCCACCCGTGGCAAGGTAGTCCCCAGGAAATGCAATGCCAGTTGCCTTCTCAGTGAAAGGCGAGTCAGGAGTGCCTTATAGCCCCAACCCCAACAGCATTGTGAGTAGTAGGGAGGCTGTGGGGCCAGGCACATCTTTAGACACCTGAGCCCATGGGCTGTAAGGCTCCAAGGCCCTGGTGAGGGGGGCCAGGAGTTGGCAGTAATGAGGGGGCAGAAAAATGGCCCCAGCAAAGGGGGCAGAATGTTGGCCCTGTGAGGGGGTATAGTGAGAGAACGAGCCACATAGAGTAGGGCTGCAAGGGTGTCCTGAAGGGCTATACAGTGTTGGTGTGGAGTAGGGTCCTGGGGGTGACCTGGAGGGCTGCACTGGGGGCACACAAGGGTGAACTGAAGGTCTGTGTACAGGCCAGCCCCACAAGTGGTTCAGGGAGTGAGCCCCAGTAAGGGGGCATGAGTGAGTCCCACGTGAGACTTTGGAGCATGGGTCACAGTGTGAAGCACTGTAGCAATATGGATGTCATCTGTGAGACATGGGACATGGTATAGGGGAGGTCGGAGCCGTGTATATCGCCCTAGGCATCAGGGCATTAAGATAGGCAGCCTCCTGCTTATTACATTGAGTTTATTAAACATCAAGCCATGGTAGGAAAGGCAAGGCAGACTGCCCTAGACAGGTGGGCAGACTGACGTTAGGCTGGCCTTGTGATGACCCTCTGTCACACTGGCAAGTCACAGCTTTCAGAATTCAAAGCATTTATAAGACCTATGGGAAGTTACTGAAGGTATGCAATGTTATTAGTAAAATAGCATTACTTGATTAACAACAGGAAAACTGCTTATTATCTTCTATTTTATTAAACAGCCTCACTGTTTGCCTTTTTACAGTTACCTCAGGGAACAGATGAGAATTGGCTTCAAAAGCTGTATAATAATTTTATCAACAAGAACCCACTCTTTCAAAAGCCAAGAATGTCAAACACATCTTTTATCATCCAGCACTTTGCTGATAAGGTATGGCCCACAACTATTTTTGAACCAGCTTTAATAGGAAAGAATCTATTAAATGTAGATTCAACTGTTAGTCTTACTTGTCATAAGCCACCTTTATAAATATAATATTTATATTAATTATTTGCTTATTGGCAGGAGGGCCTACATTATATGGTGGAGATGGGAAGTCTCTGCTCTAAACAGCCTACATACAGTCATAAATTTGTGAACATAAGCCAAAAAATTCAGTTTAAGGCTGTAGAAAAAAGGCTGTAACATACAAGCAAGATAGTCATGGACGCAACTGACACACGTCTTGTTAATACCATAGAGTTATATTAATATACGTTATTTATATTAGAAACACAGTTTTTTGGTTTCTGGGGAATGCTGGGAGTTGAAATGGGGGAAAAGAATAATTGCTGGAATTGGGTAAAGAAGATAAGAACACTTGAAGGAATGTCTGACCAAGATGCCAGCCTAGCGTGTCGTAAGAAAATACGGTATTCCACAGACAGCCTGATGTGGACAGATTTTAATTAAGGGAGAGCCAGAAGGCAGTTGACAGTGCATTGTGCCAGTTTGTCTAGCTTCTACAATGTGGGCTATGCAGCTAGCATAATGATAAAGGCAGAATTTTTACCCACAGTATATAGGAGTAATACAGATATTGGGTTTTTAAGACAAACCCTTCTCTAGTACCTAGCACATTTCAGTGGTAAGAAAATTATTTTTAGTACTTTTTCATGTAGTTGCTGCTATAAAATTAATTATCTTGCTTCTTTGCACAGGTAGAATATAAATGTGAAGGTTTTTTGGAAAAAAACAGAGATACAGTCTATGAAGTTTTAATTGAAATTTTGAAAAGCAGCAAGGTTTGTAAATTCATGGCTAATTAATTTATGGAGACACTAGATTTCCCATGGAGTATTAGTAAAGATTGGCATAGAACTGTTTCATTTAATGTTACTAACTTGAGACTAGCTTATGTTTAAGAATTTTAACTAGGTCTGAATTAATTCCAAATCATATATTTTAATTTCAAACTGACCAGAGACCCTAAGGTCCATGACTAGCAATATGTTATTATCTATGTATCATTATAATTACTATATTAAATCATTTGATAGAATTACTCCTAGTTTTATCTGAAATCCTTTCTTCACACTTTCAGTTTCATCTCTGTGCAAACTTTTTTAAAGACAATCCAGCACCCATTTCACGCTTTGGTTCAGCTATCAAAGTCAAACCTGCAAGACCAGTGGTCAAGGCCCCTAACAAACAGTTTCGGACAACAGTTGGCAATAAGGTACCGTGTTTACTGGCTGAAGTGGAAAATACTGCTGATACCCATACACCTATGAACTTTTATTTGTGGGCCTGATATTCAGGCATTCATAATTATGAGCATTGTGCTGTCATGCATTCATTGTTGGAAGCAACATGTTTCTTGGCTACATAGTATGCAGTTCAGTTAGGGCCAGCCCAATTACTATTATTTCAATATGTGTGCTTGTTTACGTCTTTGTATAGTATCTTGGTAAATACTGCCAACATTTGAATGAGCAGATCTCTAAGAATACTACAGCCTGTATTTTTGTCACAGCTTCCAGCCAGAAGATGTATTGTTTGAATGTAAACATTAAATTAATTAAACTGCTGCCTTATTGTTTTCTAGTTCCGCAGTTCTTTGTATTTGCTTATGGAGACACTTAATGCAACCACGCCTCACTATGTCCGATGCATAAAGCCAAATGATGAAAAGATGCCATTTGAGTGAGTATCTTAGTGCTTTTGAAATAATATACTATCTTTAATGAAGAAGAATAGTTTCATTTTTAGATTAACCAGAAGTCAGTTTCCTGTTCTTGATTAACCAAACTTCACATTCAGAATGTATTTTAGTCCTTTAAAGAATACTGAAGTAAAACAATTGTAATGTTTTTACACAATGAATGTTATAGAACAGTGAATACCACATGATTCACTGGATCATATTTATTAAGACACTGGAAATTTTCTATCAGCTTAAGTCATGCATTAGTGGTTTTTCTTATTAATAAAATGTTAGGAGAGAAGGGTGGACATCTTAATTTTAGATTCATGGGTGTGCTTGTTTTTGAGGGTGAAAATTAGTATATGTGGATATCTGAGATGAAGTCTCAGACATTTTCATATTTTTAAATAAGAGTTTTGAGGAAATTAGAAGCACACAGAAGAGAGCCGTGTCCAGTGTCAAGGGTATGTAATATTTTTCACTTTTCCCCAGGATACTGCAGCGTATACTGAAATTGCTGTAAAGGAAAAGAGCTTTCTCAGACACCTGAAAATTACTTTGGGACCATCTGTGCTTCTACTTCTAATTGTAATATTAACAAGAAAGTATTCATTCAATTAAAACCCCTTTTTGTCTGAAAAAACCTTGATCTATGTATAGTGGATAGTGCTGTATTCAGGGTTTGCAAGACTAGGTCCTTAATTGACATAGAGTGTATTATTATCCAGCTGTCTAAATAAGTGAATTTTGACTTGTCCTCCTCCTCTGTATCTGTTCTTTGTAGAACAATATTCTATAACTCATCAGTATTTTAAAACCTACAGTTATGGTTAAAAAACCCTATTACCTAGGCTCCACTTAGACAAGCAGGTTTTAATCTCTGCAAGAAACACAATAAGTAATTAAAACAGAATCTGAAAAATTCAGAAGAACTAAAGATGTAAAATCTGCTTCCTGAGGTTTGACTCCAAGCGGGTGGCTCAGCAGCTTCGAGCGTGTGGTGTTCTGGAAACTATTCGAATTAGTGCACAGAGCTATCCTTCCAGGTGAGCAATTCTTCTTTTTCAGTTCAATGACAGTATTTACATCTATTTAAATAATTTACATGCTCAAACTTGTCATTGTATAGGTGGACATACATAGAGTTTTTCAGCCGTTATAGCATTCTCATGATGCAGCTTGAACTCTCACTAAGTGACAAGAAAAAGGTTTGCAGAACTGTTTTGCAGCGGCTAATCCAGGTTAGTATTTCTGCACCTGAACATTACGTGCTGTAGAATCTATTATAAATGCAAAGGATCCAATATTGATCATATTTTATATAGTCTTTTTGTGCTTGTTGGTGAGGTAATTTGATTTGTTCTGGTCTAGTGGACTCAGCCCAGGGCTGAGTCATGTTCTTTCTCTATCTGTTACAGTTTCAGTGTGTGGCCACGAGCAAGTTACTTAACCTCTCTCTGCCTGTTTCCTTATCTGTGAGATGGGTATCATGTCAGTCTTTCTATGCTTATAAAGTATTTTAGATTAGTGGATAGGGAGTGCTAAACACATGCTAAATCACTGTCATCATTAGTTACTGGTTCCAGCTTCTGGCTATCTGACAATACACTGACTCCATCCATCTCTTCCTACCTTTCTGTCATTATTTTCTCCCAGGAACCACTTCATCTTCATCACAGCCTTCCCTTTGCTTCTTATTTTTAATATGCAGTCTGAGCATTCCATATGGTATCCTACAGCCTCCTTGTTGGTTCTTTTTCAATCCTCCTGTCACTCTTGCCCACTGAACCAAGATCCTTTAATCCATCAGCTATGTTTAATACTCTCTTAACATAGCCTTCTGTGTTTGGGGGCACATTCCCTTTTCTGTAACCATCATTTTGCTCTCATCTTTATTAATCTTCAGTATGTATTCTCCATATCAGTATGGAGTAAAGCTTCTGTCCTTGCATCCTAACTCATCACATCCTCATAGAACAAAATGGCCTTTGCTCCTTTCTGCATCCTCTCCATATTTTGAAAAACTCCTTCTGTAGCTGCCTTAAAAAGTAGTGGAACCGACATGCTGCCCAAGTGCAAAGAATGCCTCGCAGGAAACCATTCCATCTCTCCATGCTTTGTCTGCACACAACATACATGAACTTCTTACATTTTCCTAATGGAATCCACATATGCTTTACTTACATTTAACCTTTCTGATTCTTCTCACCTTTCTCCAGTGGAACCCTGTCCTGGGCCTTCTCCATAACAGTGAAAGCAAAGGAAACTGTTTTGTTACATTCCCAAATCTTGTCTATCATCTCTCTGATAGCAAACATGAAGTCTTTCCCTTTGGAACCCATGTTGCTTTTTGCTCAGTTACTCTTCAGTCTTCCTTTGGATCCGTTAAATATCACTGTTGACTATCTTGGCACAACAGTATGTAATTATTATTTCCTTATAGTTGTTACTCTTCTTTCTGCCCCCCTTTTTCCAAATACATACCACAATTCCTCTGGTGTGTGTGCGTGTGTGTGTGTGCGTGTGTGTGTGTGTGTGTGTGTGTGTGTGTGTGTGTGTATAACACCACACCAGCCTGGTTTGGTATAGGTACTCTCTAGCAGCCTTAGAGCACACGCCCAGTTCAGGCTGCAAGACACGTCCCCGGGACTTGGGCGCTGGGCTGCGTTCAACCCTGAGGGATGCCCCAAAACTCACCTGCCATGACTTGATCTTCCTTTCAGTAGTGGGGTTCTCCCTCGTGGGACCTCATGGACTGGGCGCTGCCCCTTGTGGGCATTCTTGGGGCTCCACCTCCCCTACACCCCAGCCATACTCCAGGCTTCAGGACGACCAGATGATGGATCGTCAGCTTGTCTCTTTGATGTTCCCTCCTGCTCTTGCCCCCTCTTGCCTGTCCCTCAGTGTCTTTCTTCGCCCTGAGTGTCTACGAGGTGTGGGACAGGTCCTGCCTCAGTCTCTGCTTTGGCCCTATCTTTGAGCTGTCATGTTCATCAAGTCTACGTCCACTCCTCTTCTTGACTCTTCAGGTCAGTTGGGGATGCCTCCCCAGTTCGGGCTCTGAGTGCCCTTCAAGATGCTAATGCAAACAGAAAAAAGGAGGAGAGAAAAGAAACAGTAGGAGTTTGGACCACAGCCCACCCCACTCATGGCTCCAGCATCTGTGGTCATCCAAATCCCTCAACGCCATCTTGCTTGGCCCAGCTGTCCTGCCAAGCCGGGCGTTTACCCTTTTTAAGGGAGCTGGGACCCCTCTGGTGGGTCCCTGTCCGGCCCCCTGCAGATCCACTGCTGCTGCGGTCCTGTAGCCCAGGGAGCAGCTTCGCCTCCTGTCCCTGGCTTAGCTGCTGCCTACGCTGTTTCCCCGCCACTGGCTCTTAAATCCGCCGGGCGGTGGTTTTCGATGACATCACCACCGGTGCTGCTCCCAGCCACAAATAAAAGCAACCGATGAACCGCGCCAGTGTCTCTTCTTGGCACAGCGCAGCTTTTCCTGTCAGAGGTGTAAATAAGCCCTATTTTTAGGGCTTTGGTTTTGTCCATCTGGGAGCTCACCCCAGCCTCAGGTCCCACCATGAGAGGGTGTTCCAGGACCTCCATTTGTGTCCCCCTGGGAAAAACACTTACTAAGACCTCTGTGTGTTTATGTAATTTAATAGGCCTTCCATGCTAGGATACCATAAATTCCATAGAACTGTTCTAAGAATGTGTTACCCTGCAGTCAGGCTCTTTTTGAAGCCAGCGTTTTAATCCCAGCAGGTTCAG